CCTAGCTGTCTCCTTCTCGGAGGCTAGGAACCAATCCTGGCTGCTCTGGTCCCCTTTACCTTCAGGCTTTCATACAAGTCTATTGACTGTTTCCAGGATGGATTTGGGGTCTTGAGCCCCACCCTACCCCAAGAAGTCAGTACTTAGGAGGACTTGGGCCTTGTCCACACAGGCTGAGCTGACAGGACTTCTGCCACATGGACCAGCTCAGGTCAAATTTGCCAAAAATATCAGTGATCTGACCCTTGTTCATGGGCAATTGATTGAGTCATGCAGGTAAAGAGATGGAAGGATTCTTCCAGGGAGGGGTGTCAACAGAGGATCCATATCTGCCAGTGTGACCAAGTCCCCTTGTCTTTGAGTGAGATTTAATGTGGTTTAAGTAGGAGAAAAACATGATTCTTTGGAGTCTGGTAACATTGAGTTTGAAGGCAGAATTAAGTAATAATTGGTGCAGAGTTTCTTGGCAAGATCTTTTTGCTTCCTTATTCTTACAACAAAAAGGAATGAGAAAAAAAAAAAAACACATTTTCCCAATACCAGAGAGAAGCAAGAATGTTCTGTAAGCAGGCACATAGCATCCCTGTGGTGAGCTGAAAATAGAGAAGCCCAATTCCAGCGATGAAGGGCTCAGCCCCTTGTGTCAATCAGGGACTGCATTTGTTGCTGGTTACATAAAATAACTCAACTTCAGGTGGCCTGGGGAAGGAGGACTTTAGCTTTTTCACAGAACAGGTCTGGAGTAGAGTCCATGCCGGTGCAGTGACTCCGTGCTGCCATCAGAGAGCCGAACTGTTTCTGGCCATTTACCCAGATGTTAGCACGTGGCATTCATTCATTCTCACTTTTGTCACCTTACGGTTCAAGGCAAGAGAAAGGGAAGGAGGGGTCCAAACACTTCTGCCATTTTTCATTGCTTTCCCAGTGCAATAGCAGGGATTGGCAGTGGAGCAGCCAGGACTCAAAACAACAGTCATATGAGATGCAGGCAGTGCAGGTAGAAGCTTAGCTTACTGTACTACAACAGTGGCCCCCCATCTCCCTGAAAACGTAAATTTTTGCAGGCTGTGTTTCTGCTTTAATAATGTTGGGGCAAAGAAAGCCAAGACTAAATAGTGAACAGTCAAAGCATTTTTTGCATTGGTGGGTATCCTGTATGCCAGACAGTGTATTGTGTTATTTGTGGGCCTTGCCTCCTTTAATCTTCACAATACCCCAAGAGAGGTAACAGCTGCTGTTCCATTTCACAGATGAGGAACCTGAGATTAAAGGTTAGTTGTCCAGGGTCATCAAGCTCGGTTATAACAGAGCCAGCTCTTGAATCTAGATCTTTCTGGTCTGAAGCCCTGAATTTGTAGTTTTCAAAAAGTGATGCCTGTGGCCAAAATGGTCCTTGTACGTCAGCAGTTCTCTGTGTTTTTGACCAGTCGTTGATTCCAGGTGTCCTCTGTGACAACGATGACCTGCTTGGGAAAGGCTTGTATCACCTTAGCTAAGCATTTCTGCTTTGCATGGCCAGGTTCTCTGAATGACATAGTCGTGACGGCCTGGGGTGCTTTATTCTTTCATTGTGCTAAATCGAGCATCTTAGATCTCCTCTGTGACAAGTCTCCTGATTTGAAAAGCTGTGTGTTGAATTGTGAGGGATGCAGGACAGGACAAGAGCTAGGAAATGTTGATGTCCTTAAGTCTCATGATGTCAGGAGTTAAACGTTTAATCCAGATGAGGTGGAAGACCCAGGGACCTCAACTCCAGCTGTTGCAGCCACTTGGGGAGTGAATCAGTGGATAGGAGGCAAGATCTCTGTCTGCTTCTCTCTGGAAATCTGATCCACCTTTCCAATAAAAATAAATAAATCTAAAAGAGAGAGAAAAGAAAAAGGTTTGTCAAACCCTTTTAAACATATTTCCAGGAAGTACTGGCATGGGTGGGACTGTGTATACCAAATATATGCAGGGCAAGGACTAAGATTTATGAATCTGACTATAAAGATAGCTTTTAGGTTAGGAAACAGTGACAGTTGCTGTAACTGGGGATCAGTTGGTCAGGATGACATTAAATAGTGCTACCATCATCAAATTAGGATTTGGAGTTGCCTGGGGTTGAAAGCAGAGGCAGTTTTCTCTGCCATTTTCTTAAGCCCCAAATGCCCATCCCCGTGGGGAATATGTGGGCTGAGTAAATGCACTGTAATTAATTAGATAAGAAGGAACAGTCAACTTGCGGTTGCTTGAGCTGAGACACTCTCCTTCTTGGGTTGTGGAGTTCAAGAAGCTCTCTGTTCCCTCCCATTCCCTTATTATACGTGTCAGGGGCATATTTGTGGCCACCAACAAGTATTTCTGACAAAGTGCTGTTTCTCTTTGGGGTGTGAATAACAAGAGGATGGAGTTACTTGACTATCATGGTTGGAGTAACCATTTGGAAATTTCAGAGCAAGGGAAAGCAAAGCAGTGTGCCAGGTTCTAAAGCTTCCACAACTCGAGCAGAGACCCAGAGCTTCGGTCAAAACAACATCAGCCTTAACACAACTCCCATGAGGAATTTCTTTTTTAAGAATTATTCTATTTTTATTGGAAAGTCAGATATACAGAGAGAAGGAGAGACAGAGAGGAAGATCTTCTGTCCATTGATTCACCCCCTGAATCAATGGCTGGAGCTACACTGATCTGAAGCTAGGGGCCTGGAGCCTCTTCCAGGTCTCCCATGTGGGTGCAGGGTCCCAAGACTTTGGGCCATCCTCAACTGCTTTCCTTGCCCTCAAGCAGGGATTTGTATGGGAAGCAGGGCTGCCAGATTAGAACTGGTGTCCATATGGGATCCCAGCATGTGCAAGGCGAGGACTTTAGCTGCTAGGCTACTGCACTGGGCCCTGTGAGGGACTTCTTGAACTTGAGGAATGGTAAAGATAAATGGCCTGGGTAACTTTGAAGACTATTGGTTGGGGTTATGGAAGATTAAACACAGAATGGAAGGACAGTTAAAATACCTATCGTGGGCACACTGTGGCCCCGAGAACTGTGTCCTTATAACCTTACAGCAACACTGCTTTTCCTAATGTAAGTCTATGTCCCTGAATGCTTTGGTAGATCCCTACTGAATATTAGTCAAGGAAGCCCTCAGAGCTCAACATTCTGATGTGCCATTACAAAGCGATGTGTGATGGGATTCCTTCCAACAACAATAACAGAAATCAGACTCAAGCTACCTGAAGTGAGATAGGAAATTTGTTGGATCACAATCATAAAGTCCGAGGATGTGTCTGGTTCAAGTGTGACTGGGTCTAGGTGCTCAGGCCAAGGGCTTAGGACTCTTTCTCTGCTGCTTATTTCACCCTCAAGCAGCATCTGCCCACATAGTTGCATCACTTCAAGGCTAGCTCCAATCCAAGTCCCCAGGCTAATTCTAATTCGTCTGGATTGGCTCCTGTGTCAAACCTTGAAGCAATCACCAAGGGTCTGGAGCCTCAACTCGATGGGGAGTAGCAGAGTAAGCTGCACCAGAACCACAAAGCCAGAGAATGAGGCACGGTGATCCTTACGGGAAAGTTGAAATGCTGCTGTTAGCGTGGCAGTGGATTTGGGGGTGGGTGTGGGGAGGAAGAATGCCCAAAGAAGTGTCGCACACCCTTACCCCCTACATAGACAAAGCTTAGTGTTTCCATGGTACTTGGACAGTGAGAAATGGGATTGCTTTCTCAGTTGCCCATGCGTTTAGTTAAGGCCGGGAGATAGGCCTGCACACCTGAAGAAGCACAGCTCGCATGGGCATTCATATTTTTATTCACTCAGCTAACCTTCAGACTGTCTGATTCACCTGAGTCTGTACTACTAGTTGGTGGTTGAAGTTCTGAGGTTATTGCAAGGACATCTGGGACATGGCCAGAGAGGGAAATTTGTATCTTTTCTGTTATATACTCCCTTGTTGAAATGGGCACCTCAGGCTTGGCCTATTTAAGCTGTGGTGGAACTTAAGGCCAGAAGACTTTTACCAAGAAGTAAAACTAGACTGATGGCCCCATCTCCGGGTCCCTGGTAATGTTTCTGGCCTGCCTGGGATGCAGCATGCTCCCCCTGCCTGTCCACCATAGATTCTGCAAAGGTTATGGAGCTGCTGCTATACCACTGATCCAAGAGATAAACTTGGATCCTGTCCTAAGTGAGAGAGGCAACTTACAATGGGACAGTCATGAATGAGAAGGCCTCTACTATGTCCCCTGAAGCTCCCCTTCTAGCTTCAGTTCACATCCTGACCTATGACCCCGCCCCCTTCTCTTAAGTTTCCAGATTTGCATGTGCATAGGTCAAACACACCAGTGCAGAAAAGCAGACACACGTGGGCCCTGGAGTCTGCCTGGGGTGAAGCCCTGGCTTGCTCTGCCCCAGACGGATGCTCATTGATCATCTCTGGGCCTTCATGTCCTTCCCTCTAGCATCTGACTAACAGTAACACTACCTGAAGTAGGTAAGTGTGCTCTGCTTCAGCTGTTCCCTGATGCTGTAGACACGCAGTTATATAAAGAGATGCTGTTCTCTGAAGATCTGACGTGCTGCCAGCTGCACTAGATTCTAGCAGAAGAGATCCATGGCTCAGGAGCCTTCTGTCCAAGCCCCAGAAAGACAGCGGGACAAATAGCAAAGGAAGCAGGAACAGTGAGATGACAGCTCAGGCATGGCCTTCTTGAGAATGTCTCACGGATTCATTGTTTCATTCAGTAGTGTTCATAGAAGACACACTGATACTCCTGACTGGTCATCATGGTAGGCATGCTGGCCTACTGCAATCTGCCAGATGAACTTTAACAGAACTAGAACTTGTCTAGTTGGGAGTTGCAAGAGCAGACATACATGGCCCCATGGTGTTTCCTAGAGGAGATGACACTTAAGCCAGAGCCCCAAGGCAGAAGCAGGTAGGCACACAGAGCAAGGGGGTAGGCATGACAGGGGTTCCTAGCAGAGGTGAGTGCTGGGAAGAACCTAACATGTGCTCTTCTTTGCAGGGATATGGAGAAGGAGCGACAGGCAGTCCCCCAGGCCAACCACATAGAGTCCTGTCGAGAGTGTGGTCGTGCAGGCCCTGGACACGCAAGGGATTGCCCCCACCGGGGCCACGACGACTCCTTCGGCTTTGAGAGGCGGGAGCAGGAGGAAGAACGGTACCGTTCCCAGAGGGAGCCGCTGGAGGGCAAGCGAGACCGGAGCAAGGCCAGGTCCCCGTACTCACCTGCTGAAGAGGATGCCTTGTTTATGGATCTACCCAGTGGTCCCAGAGGCCAGCAGGCACAGCCCCAGCGTGCAGAGAAGAATGGCCTGCTGCCTGCTTCCTACGGCCCTGGAGAGCAGAATGGGACTGGCCCTTACCAGCGGACCTATCCTTCCAGGACCAACCCTGAGAAGCCCAGCCAGAGAAAGGAGTCCTGGGCGAAGGCGCAGAAGGCGGAAAGCAGAAGGTCAGTAACAGACCAAGCTCACTGTTAATACTATGCTTAATAAGCTAGTGATAGAGGCTGTCATTTCCCTGGCACCTGCTGGGTAAACGTTGGCTTTGAACTCATTCCCTCTGTAACCTCTGGAAATCCCTGGAACTTCCGTTTAAGGAGGGAATGATAGTCCTCATTTACAGACAGGGAACCTGGGGTGTGGGCAAGCAGAAAAGAACCTGCCTGGGGCACACAGAAAAGTGGCAAGGCAGAGTCCAGGCCCAGAACCCACAGGAGATGCCATGGAGAGAATGCGTGAGGCACTCTGTAGGAGCTAGAGCTGACCTCCTCCTCTTGCTGCTTCTGTGCATCCTACAAATGCTTCTGCAAACTAGGATTATCCCGCTCCATTTGTTAGTCCCAGAAGCACAGAGGAATGAGCTTGGCCACACCCATCCTTTCAAGAAGTGGTGTCTGCTTATTTGCCAGGCATACATCTCTTACTGGTTTGCAAAGCCCTGCCTGTGTCTTAGAGTCAACCTCAGACTCCTTAGGGCATGTTTATGAACTGGAGTCCACAGCAGCCACCATGCTGCCTCTTGATCATGAAGACACAGCAGATTCTTCTCTCCATCCTTGGGCAGCTAAAACAAGCCACTGACCAGAGGAGACAGCAGAGCCTGTTGCATCCAGGCTTTGCAGGGGCTGACCCAGCCATGGCGCCACAGCCTGATAAATACCACACTTTGTCCTCTATGTTGGCAAGGCCCAGACTTTTAGCTTGTGGGCTTGAGTGGCAGCAACGCTTCTCAGGGAGTAGCCTGGGCTGGATTCTGGGCATCTGGCAGGGGCGGGGTGTGCACAGGAGGGTTGCTATAACTACTTCAGTGTGGCCCAGGTGGGCAGAGGTAAAGTCACGTTGAAAACATCCTACCCAACTAATGAACATCGCTGTGCAGCAGGCCAGGAGAACTGGAAGGCCTTCTGTGTTGTAGGTGCGGGCAAGCCAGGAGAGGCATGATACCTCCTTGGCCCCACCTGGCATTAACCAGGCAGCAGCTCTGTTTGTTCAAATGTTGTATGTTTTTGGAAACAGAATCATGTGCCCAAATACAGGGGAATGAGGCTGCTATTGTGTGGATCAAGGTAGGCCCCTGGCAAGCGGTGCTAAAATGACCTTCCTGCTGAGCAAAGGCAGCGGAGTTTGTGTTATGCAGCTTCTCATACTCCCTGTTAAGGGACGTGAATCCTGTGGGGAAAAGTATAGGGAGCCACTGGTGAGTGATACAGTCTGACTCATATTTCACAAAGAGGCTAGGACCCAACAGGAGAGGCCCCTGTGATGGTGCAGGATTTGGAGGCTGAAGCTATATAAGAAGTTCAGCAGGATGAGGGAAAAGGGGGATAAGGAAGAGTCATGGGAAGGCTCAGGAAGGAACAGGTGAAGGGGGATTGCATTCCTGACTTCTGAGAAAGGCATCAGGTGGGGCTGCCTCTCAGGCTTGGCTTGGTGAGTAGGGAGGTGTGGTACTGGGCACCGGAGGGAAGCCGTAGGGAGGAGCAGGCTGCCTGAGGAGTGTGGTGCCTGTGATGTGTCTGGGTAAAGGTGTCCCATAGGCTGCACAAAACAAGCTGGAGGGAAATTTGAAAAGCTCTGCTCTAACTGTGGCTACAGTGGATGCCCTGAGAACTATGATTTTTAAAAATTACTTAGTTAATCTGAGAGAAAGTAAACTGTCATCCACATCATCTACAGGGTGCCAGGGTAGTGTGTGCAGCTCGGAGCTCAGAAAGATGAGCTGCTGTCAGAAGCTGGTGCTGGTGTCAAGCCTGCCACTCTGATGTGAGATGTGTACATCTTAACCACTAAACTGAGTACCCACTCCAAAGGCATGATTTTTAAAAACCGTTATTTATGTATTTGGAAGGCAGATAGAGACAGAGAAAGCTATAGATAGATAGATAGATAGATAGATAGATAGATAGATAGATAGATAGATAGATAGATAGATAGATGTATTCTGTCCATTAATTCACTCCCCCAATACCTACAAACCCACAACAGCTAGGGCTGAGCCAGGCTGAAGTCTGGAGCCAGGAACTCCATCTGGGTCTCTTGCATGTGTGGCAGAAATCCAGGTCCTTGGGCCATCATTTGTGCTTCCCAGGTATATTAGCTGGAAGTGGGATCAGAAAGGCAGAGTAAGCTGGGACTCATACCAGAATGTGCAAATGCAGGTGTTCCAAGGCAGTTAACCTGCTGTGCCACAACACACACCAGTGGAGCCGTGATTCTTACCCATGACTACAGTTTGGCCATTTGAGGTCCTAACCCAAAGCCTTTAGGTGACGTCATGAAATCTATCTGTGTGTTTGACAAACCTCCCTGGGTGATATTCTGTATAATGAGAAACTGTGGCTCTACTGCATGCTGGAATCACCTGCTGAGATTGAGCATTGACTAAGCTCTAAATCCCATTCCCAGTTCCATTGGTCTGTGCTGCAACCAGGTATCAGAGCTCTTAAAAAGCACATCCTTCATCCACCCTTCTCCCTTGATGCTTCTCATGTGATCAGGGTTGAGAATCTTCAGCTCAGAGTAGACAGTAGCCAAAGACCAAGACAGGACCAGGGAATGTTCAGCCCAAGTGTTAGGCAGAAGTCTAATCTCCATAAAGGATGCTGAGCAGGAGATGAAGGAGGAAAAACTGGCATGTTCTGTGGGGAGATGCAGTTAGGAGGATTTCAGTCAACAGCACAAGGGGCTACAAATGAGGACTTCTCCCACTGATGCACCTGCCGAGTTTAGGTGCTAAGATGTGCACCTAAAACAGAAAATCCAGAACATCAAAATCTCTTCTAGTCTTTGGGTCTTTGGTTCAATGGCAGAAACCTTTTCTTACCCTGAGTTTCTTGCTGGGCTGACATGGACAGCCCAGAATAGAACTAGAAAGTTGAAGTTAGGTCAGGAGGCAGAGGGACGAGAAAGATCATGAAGATAACATGGCTGATGAGAAACGCAGTGTGGCCAGGGTGCAGAAGAGACTGGTAAAACTGAGCAGATGCTACGCAGTTTTACATTGTTTGGTTGTTAAATGTGTCTACACAACAGTTTCTGGCAGCCTACAAACCTGTTATTCATAATGGCTCGAACGTGGGCGTTTGGTCAGTGCATCAGGGAGGTCTGGGAGGAGCTGGGGAGGGTGTTAGATGTTATGGGGTGGAGGTGGGAGTTCCAGTCATTTGGGATTGCTGACATCAAGTCTGCAGGATGGGGTGGGAGTCATTGAATACACAGTGAGAGAATTTCCAGTTTGGGGGTAGAAGTAGATCTCAATGGGCTAAAAAGTCGATAAAAATGAAGAATCAGTGGCAGAATATAAAGAAAGTGCTGTCAGTGTCTGAGTGAGCAAGTGTTGCCCTCTCTCTAATCTTTCATTTGTATCTTATTTTTTACTCATTTGTACCTTAAAAGAGCTGCATCTTTCATTCCCAGTCTTTTCTTAAAGATAATGTTTGTAATCTCTGACAGTAAATAATCAACAGTGTGGCTACTTAATAAAGGGGCATCCCCCCATTTTTAATCTGAAAATGTAGAAGATGGAGAACTGTGCTAATCCCATTACACAGAACTTATGAAGGAAATGTTGAAAGGACAGTGATTCGGAATGCAGTATGGCCCTGTATTCTTCTCAGCTCAGGGAATTCTTCCTTAAGTTCTTAAAAAAAAACTTTTTTTTTTCATTTTATTTTGAAGCCAGACAGAGAGATCTTTCCTTTACTGGTTGATGTCTCAAATGCCCACAACAGCCAGAGTTGGGTCAGGCAGAAACCAGGAGGCTAGAACATGATGGCCAAGTTCCCAAGCTATCACCCGTTGTCTCCCCTTGTGCATCGACAGGAAACTGGGGTGGAAATGGAGGCAGGACTCTGTAGCAAGAACTCCAATATGTGATGTCGGCATCCCAAGGAGTCTCTTAATTGTGGCATCAAGTAATTTCACTGTAGGGAATCAGTCTTTCAATATTTGGAAATGTGTGTTACACTTCATATCCTTAACCCCTTGCAGAATATGATCTTTGCAGAATATGATCTGTAGCATTGACTGATATGTACTTAGACTGTTAACACATTCTGAGTACTTCTCTTGAAACTCTAGCCTTCCAGTTCTCCTTGTGTTCCAAAGTAAAGCATATGATGGTATTTCAAAAAGTTAATGGAAAAAAAATAAAACTAAAAGTTTATTTTGATGCAAGCATGTCTGGAATCCACATGTAGTTTTCTTCACAATTCATGATTTTAAAAAATTTTATTTTATTTTTATTGCAAAGTCAGATATATAGAGAGCAGGAGAAACAGAGAGGAAGATCTCCCATCCGATGATTCACTCCCCAAATGACCACAATGGCCAGTGCTGTGCCGATTCGAAGCCAGGATCCAGGAATTTCTTCCATGTCTCCCACTCAGGTGCAGGGTCCTAAGGCTTTGGGCTGTCCTCTACTATTTTCCCAGGCCACAAGCAGGGAGCTGGATGGGAAGTGGAGCTGCTGGGATTAGAACTGGCACCCGTATGGGATCCTGGTGTGTTCAAGGCAAAGTCTTTAGCCATTAGGCTATCATGACAGGCCCCATAATTTTTTGTGACCTTGACCCTTCATCCTTGCCAGATAAAAAGACATGGGGACAGGGAGTTGGGGGTGGAGGAGAGGACTTGAAGATTACAATGAAGACCACAGTGGAAAGTGGCAATCTGATGGAGAATCAAGATGGCAGAATAGGGTAAGGACACATTTAAACGGACAGAAAAACATTTAATCAGGATGAAGCAGAGAGGACATATTCAAGGAAATAGGAGAGGACAGAACAACAGCAGAGGGGCACCTGGAGACTGACAGACACAGGAAAGCAGCAGACACAGCAGTGTGGTGTTGCAGTGACTGATACTCCAGCGGCATTCAGCAAACAGCAATCTGAACTCCACCAGCAGCCAGAACTCCACCAGCAACCAGGTGGGAAGGGACTTTCACTGG